GGCAGGGAGGAAAAGGCATTGAGGTCAATCAGTTGAAAGTTTATCAGATCACTAGTGTTACTAGGAACTGTGTCACATTTAATCAGTGCAGATGGCTTAGGTCTCGATTACCTAAACTCTGATTGCTAATGCTGGAGTGGTGCCTAGTTGCAGTACTGAGGGATGGAAATGCACATTGCCGTCCTTTGGAAGGATTCTGAAATTTGTTGAATGTTTCTCTATGAGCCGAATACTAATATAAAAGGAAGAATGAACTGTTCCAAGATGTAAGCCAATTTTTTATTCCAGAATACGAGTTACATAGTATTTTATCCTTCACTGGCTTGGTTTTTGAAAGGAAGAATGAAATCATGCACCTGCCTGTCTGCCTTTGGATACTTCTTAGGAGCAGGAATCATGTCTTACTTATCCTTGCATCTGGAGCAGATAGCATATAAATGGCAAGCATATAAATGGTTTTTGAATGAATGAAGAAGTGAAAGAAATAGTGCTTTGTTTGAAAAGTTGGCTTGGTAGTACATAATTCCTTGAAACACAGAATTTCGTGTATTTTTCTCAAATGTCTTCTTTATATTTCATATGTAAACATTATTATCTGAATACTTATTTTGGGTTCACTTAGGTTCTCTTGTGGAAAAAAAAAATATTCCTGTTGCCCCATCATTTACAAATAGAACCAGACTCTAAAGAATTAAAATTCTTCCATTAAAATAAAAATCCTCAAATGTTAAGGTACTTATAAAGTAGAGTTTGGTAGAGGTGTACCTGGTAAAGGTATGCCAGAAGTTATCAAATAACTCGTTACCCTAGAGTTAGGGGTATGGGTCATAAAGACAGACATTCTACACATTCGTTATTTTTACAGTTAGATTTCATTTAGGAAGTGACATTAGATAGGTTCATTGCATTCTTTTTTTTTTTTAAGATTTTATTTACTTATTTGACACAGAGAGAGAGCACAAGTAGGGGGAGCAGCAGAGGGAAAGGGAGAAGCAGGCTCCCCACGGAACAGGGAGCCCGATGTGGGGCTCGATCCCAGGGCCCTGGGATCATGACCTGAGCCGAAGGCAGCCACTTAACTGACTGAGCCACCCAGGCGCCCCGGTTCATTGCATTCTTGATCACTGGAAGCTAAATATGACAGAATAGTATTTTACCGTGCTCCACTTGGCAAGGATATTTTTCTATGTTTGGAGGAAGGAAAGTGTTAAAATCTTGGCAGTCTGGACTCCAAGGACATCACTGTTCAGAAGGCATCGGTTTGCTGGCTCTTCCCTGTACTCTGTCTTTGGAATGCTGTGTTCATCAGGGAAAGCCATATTGAAAGGAAAAGTGTGTGTGATGTATGGCTGTTTGGGCCCAGTTCCCAGGAATACTTGATCATGTGTAGCATGGTGTCTCCTGTTCTTTCTGTCTTCAGGGCTGTCCAGGCTTATGCTACAGTGCCAAACGTGGATTTAATTGCAGCTCCCTTTGTTGGCTTTTTTGGTAGACATTTGGTCTTAGCCTTTTGATTTTTAGGCAAGTCCAAATCCTTGGGAGGCCAGCACTGTTACCTTGTTGACATCTTCCAGGAACCCCACCTGTGAAAGGGGGTGATGGCAGCGAGATGAGAGGGAGGCAGGAAGGACTTCCCCAGAGCAAGCACCCTCTTGTAGCAGCTCGTTCCCAGCGCTTTCTCGATTTGGCTTCCCTTCAATTTCTTTCTTTCTTTTTTTTTTTAAGATTTTATTTATTCATTTGAGACACAGAGATAGAGCATGAGCAGGGAGAGGCAGAGGGAGAAGCAGGCTCCCCGCTGAGCCAGGAGCCCAATGTGGGGCTCGATCCCAGGACCCCGGGATCATGACCTGAGCCGAAGGCAGACGCTCAACTATCTGAGCCACGCAGGCGCCCCTTTTTTTTTTTTTTTTTTTTTTACGGCTCTTCCTTGGAAGTTCAGAGTCAGGTTAGAGCTCTTTAACATAACAATGCAGGCTTTTGTTTTTGGTTTAACTGGATGATTTAAGCAATTGGTAGTTACTTTTTAAGCAAGCTTGAAGAAGTCAACCTATATTTCAAGTGAAAAGAAAGTTCTTGGGGGAGGTGGAGTCTTTTGACTACTCATTCTTTTCTTATTCCAACTACGAGATCATAAGGAAAGAGTTAACACTTTCTGTCATGTTGGAAAGTACTTGTGAAATTTAAACATTGGCAGTTCTGTTACCGCTTGACAGCTCAGGAGTACTCTGTTTTGGAGCGCATGGCAATTAGGATTGTATAGTGCCTCACCAGGGTGGCTGATGGTGAACATAGCAGTGTGGATCTCTTCCATTTCTTTTAAGGATTAATAATCTTTTATTACCTCACCTGTTGGATACTTCACATGTTAGTTATTATGTGTATAGTTGCTAGAACTCTCTCCCTGCAGCACTAGGAGCATAAAATTCACGCATGTAGCAGTGTAGTTAGTCCCTGGGTAGTGTTGGGAAACCTCCAGGAGTCTTTGTGAAGTGTCTAGATTAGCGTGTCGTTCCATGAGGATAATGCAGGAAAAGAATGAGTTAAATCAAACTTTTAAGGATCTGAAAATGGGCGTCATGTTAACTTTCACAGTAGCTGAAGGAATAGCAAATTTTGTACTGGAGATTATTTATCTGATTCCTTTAAATATTTATAATTTTAAATTGTAACTTTTTTGGTAGGAAATCTTTGTAACTAACTGTATGATCTTAGGCAAGTCATTTGGCCCCTCCAGTCAGTTTCTAAAACCACATCAACAATAAGAACTACAGTATGGATGTTGCCTTATAATTTTCTGAGTGATTTTACATAATGTAATTACATAATTTGCATAAATTATTTCATTTACTCCTTACAACACTTCAGTAAACGAAGACATTGAGACATAAAAATAGTAAGTTACTTGTCTAAGATCATATAGCCCGGAAGTGCTAGAACTGAGTCCTCAGTCGAGGTCCACGTGCGCTCCTTACTCATGTCATGTGCCGACACGCCAGTGGTGGACTGGGCCCCTCTAAAATCCTAAGGTACTGCCATTTTTTTTTGTTGTTTTTGATTTTTTTTTTTTTCTTCAGCATTTGAGGCAGCTTACCACGGGGCTATTTTCTTTGCCTGCTTTTTTTCTCAAAGTACATTGTAGGATTACTATTTTAAATGTCCTTTTTTCCTGCCCAAAAGTATATTTAAAAAATTAACAATATGGGAGCACCTGGCTGGCTTAGCTGGTAGAGCATGCGACTCTTGATCTGGGGCTCTTGAGTTCAAGTCCCATGTTCGGCATAGAGCTTACTTTAAAAAAAAATTTAACAGTATGGAATTTCCATTATTGTGACAGGTTTTGGGATTAATTGGGTCTTGTGAGTTTGGGCTTCTCTTTTTGTAATGTTGTAGTTTGCACGTGTAAAACCCTGAGAGTCATTCCAGAAATTTATTTGGGGTTAAGCCCCACATGTATGAGGTTGTCCTAACTTGTTTTAAGATGAAGAGGTAGATTTACTCTTATTCACAAATAATATTCATAATAAGAATTTAAATTTAATTTAATGATGAGAGAAAGCCCTGTAAAAAGCACCCTACTCTTGTATTCTTTAAACTTAGGTTTTACACATTCTTAGAATTATAGTGCTTTTCAGACAAATCCCTTTGAAGAGGATAATTTCAGGTTTTTCTTAAATAGTTAAATGCTTTAATAATGTTAGCATTCAGAACAAAAACCTTAGATTCCAAGAACTGCCTCTCAGTTGCATAGTTTGCAAGGTCTTGGACTCAAACATTTTGCCTCTTAAAGCATTTAAATTCAAGAGCTGAACCTGCTAATTTGTCTAAAAGTTTGCATGTATCTTTTCATATATTCCTGATTAATAAGTGGTTGAACAGATTAGCCCCTGACTCTAGCTTTACACTAACTGGGGAAACAACTTTTCAGAAAATCCACAGATGTTGTCCATATGCATGTGGTCTTTGCTCTTGAGAGGAAAATTGGGGCTTTAATTGTTGGAACATATTTTGGGGCTAGGCTTATCAGTATAAATTGGAGGTTCAAGAAAATCTGTCTCTCAATCCTTATTTTATTCTTGTTGTATGTGGATTTTGTTTCAGGGATTTGAAATTCTCTCTTGTCTCTTTCGGGAAAGAACTGTTTCTGAATCAGTGAATTTCTGTTAATCAGTTTGTTTAAATAGACCACCTTTCTTGAGAACTTGTCAAAATAAGTTAAATCCTTAAGGATTTTTTTGAAAGGGCAGGTTAAAAGTTAGAGGTAAGGGGAAGTTTTTGCCTTTTGCCTTTTCCAAGTATAACAGAGAGTAAGATGCTTCCGTAAGTTCTTCTTGAATGCATTATTTCATCCTGTATGCGGTCAATTCATGATCCCTTTCACAGATGCTGCTGCCCACCATTAAGTCTCTTATCACAGGGCATTTTAAATTGATGCCATAAAATGCATGTTGAGAATCTTTGGATCTCAAATGTATAGAAATCACATCTAAATGTCAATTCCTGAGTTAAGGAACTGACAATTATGGCAATTTCAGTCTCTATTAATATTTAGTAGACAAGAGATTATGATATGGTTTATGTTATTCCTTATGTGTGTGTAAACTTATCTACTTGTTGAAAAGATTTGTTTGTTTTATTGGGGCTGTATATTTCTGCCATTGTACTGATTTGCTTGCTTGAATTAAAGCCGTTCTTTAATTGTTTTGGGCTGTATCTATAGTTTGAAATTAAGGACTATCCCCTGTGTACTATGCACCAAAGATGACATTTCAATGCTTTGTTCAATTACTACACAGCTCCTATTTGTCTGTAATGAAGCTGTATGACTGGGTCCATTTATTTCAATATTACTTGTTTTATATTATCCATATAAATGATAATGATTAATATATAGAGTCTGATTTTCCAAATTCATTTGTGTCTCCTCTGGGCATTTCTTTGGGATATGTTCACACTTGTGTTTTTGTTTCTGATTTTAAAATAATTTTCCTTTGTTGTAGGATGAGCAGTTCTTAGGTTTTGGCTCAGATGAAGAAGTCCGAGTACGAAGTCCCACAAGGTCTCCTTCAGGTATGGCCAGTTAAGTGCATGGTGCCTTTTGTTTGTTAAGAGACCATGGCTTCCCCTTGCTTTCTTTGCATGTAAAGGATGATCTTAAATACTGGGCGGGGGTGGGGGGGCTTGCATCCTTCCCTTTCTCTCGCACTAAGTAAGAGATGGCTTATGAGCTAGACCTCTTTACAGGGCTCTTCTCTGTCAGGCCACTTATGCTTTATTCTTTATAATGCTTCTCTTTGGGAACTAGGTGGGGGGGCATGGGGGTGTGTGTGTGGTCAATTTCCATGGAATGACTAAAAGATCTGGTAGTTGAATTGAAGGTAACCTACTCAGAGCATCCTCAGATTCATAGATTTTGAATGATACAGTAGTATATACAACTTTGGGAACAATCTGACTGTTGTTTTTTACAGATGAAATTTGGTCTACTCTAGTCAATAAAATAAATAAAATAAAAAAACCCAAAAAAATAAAAACAAAATATTTATTTTATCTGATCCTTGAAAGGCGGTATTAAAATAAAAATAAAAATGATATGGGGGTATTTCCATTTTTAAGCGATATTTGTCATTGTTCTCGCCAAGAAAATATCTAGAATGTCTTGAAATTCTAGACTTCGAGAAGTTTCCTGAGAGACAGTCCTCAGTGGAAATAACATGCAGTGGCTTGCAGAATTCTAGTCTGTACAGGGGAGGGATCTTCTGAGGAAAAAACCATTTCCCATCTGTGCTGGCATTCTGACTTCTATGGTTTGCTTTACTTTGATCTAGATGGACAGTCTAGTTAAATGTGATGTTGTTAGTGGTTTTGCTCTTTGACAGCGACTTAGTTCTTGATGTTTGTTAGCATTTGGGTTTCATTTAAGAGTCATAATGTTTGTATAGTAATCTTAATTGAAACACATAACTTGACAGTATCTTTTTTCCCAAATGGCGGGAGTGTTGCCATTCCAGTCGGGAGGAGTTAGCCTGTAGTACCCCAGTGTCTGTGCCACATACATAGTAGCCGTGTTCTCATGAAGATGCAATGAAATCCTAAAACTTCCTATAGGAACGTGATTTTAGAGATCATCTGGTCTGACCCTCCATTTCTAGATGACAAAATGAGGCCGGGAAAATATATGATGCAGTTACGCATAACTGACTTTTGAGTTCTCTGAATATGTTGTGATTAACAGAGCTGGACTCTTCTCTGTTTTGGTTTTTCTCCTTGTCCACCAAAAAATTCTTTTAAAAATTGGATAGAAGAGGTTTTCCGGATTAATAAAGCCCTATGAGTGGCCAGGTTCAAGTCTAGCATGATGATAAGGAATCTTGTGATATACTTCTGGGTAGGAGTAATTCACAACCTTTCCTTGAATGGTTATCAGTCTACCTTGAATGTTGTCTTGTTTTTGTTTTTTAAACCATCTGGGTATGCTTCATTATTTAAGAAATGAAACTTAGTTTTCCTGCTGTCTCCTAGTCCATTACTTTTGTTGTAATTAATATATATTGAGAATGGATTTATGAATCCTTAATGTATTAAAGGAAGTTTCAACTTAATTGGTGAGAAAAACATTTATATTTAGAAAGCTCAAGAGTAAGACCTTTGTTGATTTCTGTTCTGTTAGGAAGTTGGTTCCATAGTCTAAAATGTTCATCATATTGGCATAAATGTCTTTTGATGCCTGTTAGGGGAGGTTTTAGTCTCAGAAGAATGTTGAGTCATATCAGACATGGAAAGTCATGAGGGAAGAGAAGTTGTGAGAGACCAGGAAACTCTTAATCCATTTAGAAAATCCAGGTTTATACAAAGAATTTTAGAAAACAGCCTTGTTTTCTCAAGTCTCTTGAAAAAGTAGCAAATTGAGCTGCTTTATAAATTGGCAAATTCCTTTTATTTAGACTAGAAGAAGTCTGATTTAATAAATTGTTGATTTGCTCTTGACGTCAATTAGGGTTAAATCTTTTTTGTAACCTGGGACTAACTAGTTCAAGAACCTGTAAGTAGGGGAGTAGATTAATGGACACATCATCGTGTCACTTCACTGAGGAGTTCACATGCCACTGAGTTCAGTGATCTTATTCTGATGTCTCATGGATGAACATTTTTCTATTCAATAAAGCTTTCTTAGTTTACTTGGACAAAACAGACTGAAACTATAGGAAGCTGAGCTGCCCAGGTGCTTTCCTGACAAAAGTTGGTATGTTATCGATCAAAGAGCTCCTTGTTCAAATTTGTGAAAGCCAAAATTCCACCGAAAAGATGGGATGACTTCCTATGAACATGTTCTCAAATATTAATCTTAGTGGCTAGGATTTGGAAAAGGTGGCATAGATTTTTTTGGTAAACCTATTTTTTTTTAAATTAAAAAAAAAAAACCCTCACTCACCTGAAATGGTAGGAAAATCAGTTTTGCATATTAATTGCTGGGTTGAAAATCTGTTATCATTATCTTAGTTGTTCTGTCCCAAAAGTTAGATGTTATAGGTGGAATGTTATTTACTTGGTTTCTTTGAGGCAAGTTTTTGGTGAAAAGAAGCTAAGCCCAATTAAGATGTTTAAGTGACTCACTAGACCAGGTAGTAGAGGTCAGTACAAAATGGCTTGTGCTAAAGTATGTTCAGCTTAGTTGCGACCTGAACTACAAAGCTAAATGTATGCTCTTCATTGTTTAATTTTTATACACAGTTAAAACTAGCCCTCGAAAGCCTCGCGGGAGACCTAGAAGTGGCTCTGACCGAAATTCAGCTATCCTCTCAGATCCGTCTGTGTTTTCCCCTCTAAATAAATCAGAGACCAAATCTGGAGATAAGATCAAGAAGAAAGATTCTAAAAGCATAGAAAAGAAGAGAGGAAGACCCCCCACCTTCCCTGGAGTAAAAATCAAAATAACACATGGAAAGGACATTTCAGAGCTACCAAAGGGAAGCAAAGAAGATAGCTTGAAAAAGATTAAACGGACACCTTCTGCTACATTTCAACAAGCCACAAAGATTAAAAAATTAAGAGCAGGTAAACTCTCTCCTCTCAAGTCTAAGTTTAAGACAGGGAAGCTTCAAATAGGAAGGAAGGGGGTACAGATTGTCCGACGGCGAGGAAGGCCTCCATCGACAGAAAGGATAAAGACCCCTTCAGGCCTCCTCATTAACTCTGAACTGGAAAAGCCCCAGAAGGTCCGGAAGGACAAGGAAGGAACACCTCCACTCACAAAAGAAGATAAGACAGTAGTCAGACAAAGCCCTCGAAGGATTAAGCCGGTGAGGATTATTCCTTCTTCTAAAAGGACAGATGCAACAATTGCTAAGCAGCTCTTGCAGAGGGCAAAAAAGGGGGCTCAAAAGAAAATTGAGAAAGAAGCAGCTCAGCTGCAGGGAAGAAAGGTGAAGACACAGGTCAAAAACATTCGACAGTTCATTATGCCCGTTGTCAGTGCCATCTCCTCACGGATCATTAAAACCCCTCGGCGGTTTATAGAGGATGAGGATTATGACCCTCCGATTAAAATTGCCCGACTAGAGTCTACACCGAACAGTAGATTCAGTGCCACGTCCTGTGGATCTTCTGAAAAATCAAGTGCAGCTTCTCAGCACTCCTCTCAGATGTCTTCAGACTCCTCCCGATCTAGTAGCCCCAGTGTTGATACCTCCACAGATTCTCAGGCCTCTGAGGAGATTCAGGTACTTCCTGAAGAGCGGAGCGAGACCCCCGAAGTTCATACTCCACTGCCTATTTCCCAGTCCCCAGAAAACGATAGTAATGATAGGAGAAGCAGAAGGTATTCCGTGTCAGAGAGAAGTTTTGGATCTAGAACAACTAAAAAGCTATCAACTCTACAAAGTGCCCCCCAGCAGCAGCCCTCTTCCTCTCCGCCTCCACCTCTGCTTACTCCACCCCCGCCACTGCAGCCAGCCTCCGGCATCTCTGACCACACACCTTGGCTCATGCCTCCAACGATCCCCTTAGCATCACCATTTTTGCCTGCTTCTGCTGCTCCTATGCAAGGGAAGCGCAAGTCTATTTTGCGAGAACCAACGTTTAGGTGGACTTCCTTAAAGCATTCTAGGTCAGAGCCACAATACTTTTCCTCAGCAAAGTATGCCAAAGAAGGTCTTATTCGCAAACCCATATTTGATAATTTCCGACCCCCTCCACTAACTCCTGAGGATGTTGGCTTCGCGTCCGGTTTTTCTGCATCCGGTACTGCTGCTTCAGCCCGATTGTTTTCACCACTCCACTCTGGAACAAGGTTCGATATGCACAAAAGGAGCCCTCTTCTGAGAGCTCCGAGATTTACTCCAAGTGAGGCTCACTCTAGAATATTTGAGTCTGTCACCTTGCCTAGTAATCGAACTTCTGCTGGAACATCTTCTTCAGGAGTATCCAACAGAAAAAGGAAAAGAAAAGTCTTTAGCCCTATTCGATCTGAACCAAGATCTCCTTCTCACTCCATGAGGACAAGAAGTGGAAGGCTTAGTACTGCTGAGCTGTCACCTCTCACCCCGCCGTCTTCTGTCTCTTCCTCGTTAAGCATATCTGTTAGTCCTCTTGCCACTAGTGCCTTAAACCCAACTTTTACTTTTCCTTCTCATTCCCTGACTCAGTCTGGGGAATCTGCAGAGAAAAGCCAGAGACCAAGGAAGCAGGCTAGCGCTCCAGCAGAGCCATTTTCATCTGGCAGCCCCACTCCTCTCTTCCCTTGGTTTACCCCAGGCTCTCAGACTGAAAGAGGGAGAAATAAAGACAAGGCCCCTGAGGAGCTGTCCAAAGATCGAGATGCTGACAAGAGCGTGGAGAAGGACAAGAGTAGAGAGAGAGACCGGGAGAGAGAAAAAGAGAATAAGCGGGAGTCAAGGAAAGAGAAAAGGAAAAAGGGATCAGAAATTCAGAGTAGTTCTGCTTTGTATCCTGTGGGTAGGGTTTCCAAAGACAAGGTTGTCAGTGAAGATGTTGCCACTTCATCTTCTGCCAAAAAAGCAACAGGGCGGAAGAAGTCTTCATCACTTGATTCTGGGACTGATATTGCTTCTGTGACTCTTGGGGATACAACAGCTGTCAAAACCAAAATACTTATAAAGAAAGGGAGAGGAAATCTGGAAAAAAACAACTTGGACCTCGGCCCAACTGCCCCATCCCTGGAGAAGGAGAAAACCCTCTGCCTTTCCACTCCTTCATCTAGCACTGTTAAACATTCCACTTCCTCCATAGGCTCCATGTTGGCTCAGGCAGACAAGCTTCCTATGACGGACAAGAGGGTTGCCAGCCTCCTAAAAAAGGCCAAAGCCCAGCTCTGCAAGATTGAGAAGAGTAAGAGTCTTAAACAAACCGACCAGCCCAAAGCACAGGTACTCTTTTCCATCTTGCCTGTTAAACTTAATAGTTTATCAAGCCTCTTCTGTCAGTGAGTTTTCGGCGAAGTGTTTCGGTGATGTCTAGTTCTGGGAATCAGGAGAAGGGCAGGGGAAGTGGTGGCATTTGCAGTGCCCCTTCAAGGACTGGTAGGATTTTGATAGGTAGGAAATGACAGGGGAGAAAATTCTTCCTCTTCTTCTTCTTTTTTTTTTTTTTTT